GGTCGGTGATAAAATCTATTTTTGCGCTCCACTGAAAATGGATGTGTTTTGAAGTCATTGGAATCAAGAGTGGAAAGTGTGACAATACATCACGTCATGTGGCATTCGAAAATCGGCCCAATTGCTTCATTATTTTGCGCTGTCCCGTAGAATGATTCCAAAAACGGATTTTTCAACTAAATCACCGAAAAAAGGATTGGAAACCCAGAAAAAAAACGGATTGAAAATCACGCGAAATGTGACATTTGAAAATGTTAGCGGTTGCAATTACAAACAACTCTATTTCGGCTTGGCTACACCGATTAAAGTCAAATTGGATTTAAATTGCAAATACGGTGAATAGAAATGAATTGTTTCATTCTGCCTCTGCTTTTTTTTTCGCACACTCTCGAGTGTTCGCTTCAAAAGTGCACACAAACAAAAGAGAATAGACTCGTTTTTTGCCGCACGCTACCGCCGGGCAGATCAAGTCAAAATTGCATTTTCAAGTACGCACTTGTCGGGAAATTTTTGTGCCATCAACCGTGACAATTAGTGGAAGGATTGATTTAGCCGAGTAATATTGGTTGCTAAGAGCCCGAATACCAATTTGAGTGAATCGCCGTTTTATTGAATTTGATGACAACTTTATACATATATAAAATGAACTCGCTAACAAATCCATTTGGCATACGTTAACAAATCCAACCGTTTGCCATACGCTTACTCTAGTTTTCATTCACACCTTTTGATTTCACACACTTTTAACAAGGCATTATAATGCACCAAAGCCTCTTTTTATGTCATTCATCAGTATATAGAGAATGTCGCGCGTTTCGCATGTTTTTGTTTCAGCTTTTTACACCGAATTACCTATTCAAGTGCACATAACGGAACGATTGCGAAAAGTGTTGAACGAACACACAACATCAGATCACGATGCAAAGGGGGAAACGAAGCGAATATAATACTATAAGACAATAAAACAACGGCGAACGGAATCATTTGCACAATACGAAATCAGCAAAAAAAAGGGATTGCGAACGCTGATGAACATGATCAATGCCATTGAGATTTTGAGCACAGGTTGCCGTTTGCTGTGAATTTGGGGAGGTGGGAAGAGACTTTGTGACAAGGAAAGGGATGATTTATACGGATTTTTTACGTGACATCCACAACATTCGATTTTAAGATATTTTTGAATTTTTTTTTTAGTGTTTTTTTTCGTAATGGAATTAGATTTTGAAACGTATTTTTCGTTTACACGTATTTGGGAACTTTTATTAGATTCTCAAAATTTAGATTTAGAAATGACCATTTTGTTGGGGAAACAGGAACTTTTTTCGTACCAAAAGAGAAACAGAAGACTCTAAAAGATTTTAAAAGGTTGCAAGAGACCATAAAAGAACTATAAACGATAGAAGTTAGTAGAAAAAGACAACTTTTTGAGGTCAGAAGTTCTGATTTGAAGTCATATTCTCAGAACTACTTGAATTCGCCATGATTCACATAAAACTGAGGCTGTGAGAATGAAAATGGCAATACAGACATTCTGAACCACATCAAGAAAAAAAAATCGCAAAAGTGAATCATGAGTTCTGAATACGCAAAAGTGAACCATGAACCTCCTATGCTGCCCATGTAAATTCATGTTTCACTTTTGCATATTCAGAACTCATGATTCATTTTTGCGAATTTTTTTTCTTGATGTGGTTCAGAATGTTTATTCCTGTATTGCCATTTTCATTCTCACAGCCTCAACTCTGGAATACTATAAAATGCAAAAAGCCATGAAAAAAAGTAGAAAAAAAACCCGCTTGCGGTTCTCGAAGTAGAAAAAACTATAGCTCAGGAGGTGTCGATGTCAATTTATACCTTTAAATCGTCTGACAAATTGAAGATAATTTTCTATCAAGGTTAAATTCTGACCATTGATACCGAAAATACACAGAAAATAAAAAGAAAAATCCAATTAAACTCTTTGGCAAAAAGTCTTTGCAGAGGCAAAAAAGCATATCTCATGAAAATATAGGAGAATACACACTTCCCCATGTTCATTTTCATGACGTCGCCTGCGGCAATATCAAATTAACTGCAATTTTGTAGTTATAAAGGCACATCGCATAATAATCGTAGTCGAAATTGATTTTTAATTCGCTCGAAATCAAGAGCCATGCATCCATTTGGAGCATGAATTGAATAAAAATCTAAAAACAATAATAAAATCTGATGTTTACCTTATCATAACTATGAACTTTTTGAATGAAAAAACGTGCTCTCATTTTTTCTCTCCCAAATGCGCATTCCGTTGGTAGTTCTACGTACACTTGAGAATGAGCCTTGATTCAAGGCCCTTAAAAATGCTATTTCATTTCATTGTGAAGTGGTTAGATTCCCCGAATCCATTCAAAATCTCAACAACGACAGAAAAAAAAAATCCCTCACCAAATCAGTTGATTGGTTCGACTTGTCGAATGGGAATGCAACGAGTTGGAAAATCGCATTGAGTGCCTGAGAAAAAGAACCATAGTGTGCAAGTGTTTAATGACAATGCAGCGATTCAATTTTTAAAAGTCGAGTCTTTTCATAGCGTTGCAACAAGAGAAAAATAAAAGAGGTGCTGCATCGTACACGTTAAAAGTGTTAGTAGCACATGTGTCGTGGTGTTCTTGTGACAAGATGCAAAAATCGGATGCAACGACGGGAGTCGCTGCTCGCAAATGATATTTGACGAATGTAACACTTGAGTTGTTGTCGAGAAAATGTTACAATTGAACATACATTCAAGTGGTGTGTGTGTGTGTGTGTGTGTTTTTCCTCTTTCTCTCGCTCTCTCTGCACCATCTTTGTATGTTTTCACTCTCTCCCTTTCTTTCTATCTCTCGCTCTCTCGTGGAAGAAAGAAAGAGAGAGATAGAGAGAGAGAGCGTGACGTGTCTTTGTTATCGGGATAGCAAGGAATTCCGAGTGAAAAATAGATAAAAACGTGAAAAGTGTGTTAAGAGACGTAACATTTTATCCAATTGTTACGCTTTTTTTGTGGGTAAACAAAAAATCCACTTAAATGCAAACAATATGTTTACTGCGACTCTTCCCACATCGGTACTCCGGAGGATTGTGAGCAATTGCAGTGGTATCGTTGCCATTGATACTGTCGCTGCTTGTGTGTGTCTTTCGGAGAAAAGTCGAAATTGAATTTGCTAACGAGGAAAAATGAAAAACAAACAAATATCCCAATTGAATTTGACTACAGATAACAAACATGGATCACATATGAAACGCAGCTCGACTTTATAAAACCCGCATTTTTCCTGTCTCATTTCACATTTCAAACTCCTTGACGATTTCTTTCATACATTTTGACGAACAATGACGCACATCATTTCAACTTTATTGCAAAATTCAGATACATATGGCAGATTTGAAACTCTTTAATGGATTCGCCGAAATCCACTCACATAATATTCATATCACTTCCGTGACAAATTCAAGTGGCTTTTATGCATGAATTCAGTCACGAACAGATAAATTAGTTTTTGAAGAAATTCGTCAAAGTGAATTGAAGATTCTTCCAAGAAATTTTGGGTGAAGAATGGAATTTGCAGAGGTTGAGATTTTTTAGAAGAAAACCTTGAATATTGAGAGACAAGCAAGATTTGGAATAAGCGAAGAAAAACAAGGAATGACGAGGAAAAACAACGAAAGACGAGGAAAAAGGAAAATAAGCCAAAAAAAATGGGAGAAAAATGGAAAAAATCAAAGAAAAGATTCAGGAAAATGCCACAAAATCATCTTTTTTTGAACAAATTCGGCGTAAAAAAAAGAAAAAAATCGGTAAAAATATGATCAAACTTGTGAAAAGATGGAGTAAAGACAAGTCAAGTTTGGGAAAAATGTTGATAAAAGATAAGAAAAGGACAATAAAATCGAGGAAAAAACTAAATCTGCGAAAGAAATATCGAAGCACGATGAAATATTATTGAAAACCGGGTGATGAATGTGTGTTTAAATAAATTGAAAAGAAAACGAAATCCTTCGTTCACCATAAGATGATTTATGTTGAAGAAAACTCCGCCTTTTCTCAGCATTCGGTTTTCTCGACATTGTCATTCGATCCTGACCACACCGAAAAATCCATGTATATATTGCCTTGTTCACAGTCCACAGCCTTAAAACTGGCATTATAAAAAAAAGCACTTTCTTCGAGGCCCTTTTATTAAAAGAAAATATTAAGCGATTTGTTCGCATTAGTTGAAATTTCAAGTGGTATAAAAATCTGTGACGAAAGAAACACACACACGCATTTGGGTATGAGGGGATAAAATGCGACAATAAAAGTAAACATCGTCACCCTTCTCTTTCTCTTTTTGCCAGCGACCGGTTTGCGGTGGCATTTTGTATTGTTCGCTAGAAAATCCGTATGCGGTTTATGTATCACTTCATCACCAAATGGAAGGCACAATAAAAAAGGATACACCGTTGCGTCTATTCACACTTGTCATGAAGCGTCGTCGAGACAGCACCGAAAGCGAAGAGATGATAAAAAAAAAAACCGACACTCACACTCACAACTGTAACAGTTACATTTCAATTTTGAAAATGATACAATCCGCTAACGAACGAATGAATGAGCTCGATGAACAGCTCGACGCGAACGAACGTGAGAGACATGTGTACGTATTGTATTGCGAATGTGCAGTGTGCACTCGTCAACGCCACTTTTACATTCAATGTATATATACGCAGCACTACCTTCTTACTCAAGGGGCAATTCAACAATTTAAATCACCCGATTTTAGTGATGTTGCCTAGATGTGAGCGCGCGCGCGCGCACGACAATCCAAACGCCACTTTGCAAACAGCAATCACGATGACGATGATATACTCTAATATGCACTGCGAACGCAACAGCACCAACAACAAATCGCATACACACAGAAACAACCCCGCAAAGACACACCGCGCTCATGCACGAAAAATCACACAGGCAAAATACTTTGGCTCGTTTGCATACCATTTCATTTGATCCGCAGCACTGACTACGACCGGAACACATTTCATACTATCAAGCAACAGAGAGAATTTTAACTTCTTTTCAAGAGGGATTTTTGCACCGAAGTTTGTGATTGAGTTTGCTTTTTTCGATTAAAATAAATTTCGGAAAGCAAGTTTTGAATGAAGCATTTAAAACGATTTCTGGGAGAAAATATTGATGAGTTTAACGTTTTTTTGATGGGAGAAGCTGAAACATTTAGCTTAAAAGTGAGTGATTTTTACCGTTGATTCTATGGAAGCAATTCGGAAATTTTTACAAGAAATTTAAATACAACGAGAATATAAGGATCTTAATCGCACCCAAAAGTTGAGAGATTTATCGGAGCATCACAAAAAAGTGAGTAATTTTCATCAAAATTGCATCGTTTTATCAATTTTGATGTGAATTTTTTTTAATTGATTTTTAGACACTCTCTTCGTCTTCTTTGCTTTCTTTCATTTTGATTGCTCTATTTTCATTTCGAATGTTCATTTCATAAACTGTTTATTTTAAATTAATTTTTTTCCAATTTTTACCGCTTCGTTGTAACTATTTCTTTTCTACATCAGTTATTTTTGTTCTCGATTACTCTGTTTTCGATTCTAATTAAAAGCTAAATGGCTTAAGAAATTTCTTTCGATCTGTACACCTATCATGTTGACTTCATCCCAATTGTCAACGTCGTTTTTATTCATTCAATGGAACACTTCTATTTTAAGTTCCAAATCTTCTTTAGCCTATCAATTGATCTTATCTAAAAAAGATTTCTTTTGTTACTTTTGTTCTACAAATTGACCACTTTTCATTTTCATTTCTGAACAAATATGATGATTTTACCATTTTTAGAGTTAAAATTAAGAAAAAAAATTCAATTGGGAAGGAAAATTGCCAATATCGATGTAATCGATTCAATATTGAAATACTTGATCAACTTCGATTTTATATGGATTTTACCTATTCTGTGAATAAAAAAATCCGTTTCTTGACCAAATGACAAAAATATTGTTAGTTTTTCACTGATGGCAATCAACATGCTGAACACTGATTTTATTTGGAGTATTTTTGTGAGTTATTTCTCGTGAATTGGATACTAAGAATTAAATGTTGGGTGGAATATTTCAAATCTATGAAATATTGAAAATAACTCAAAAGTTCAAAAGTTAATGATATGAATTTTCAGAATTCACTAAGATTTTATTTTGGCATTTTGCTTTGCTCTTTATTTGAATAAAATATTGGAGAATAAATCCTCAACTACAAAGGCAAACAAATCAGTTGAAATACTCTACTAAAGAAAATTCTGGATGCCCAAAAAAAAAAATCATTCTTCGCAATGATGAATTCTTCACGAGAAAACTTCATATTTATTAAAAATGTTTGCATGTCATTTCGAAAACTTGTCGTGCGAATTCATCATTTTTCCAACTAGCTCCCTGATTACTCACCCTTCATGTTTGCGCATTTAATTGCGAAGCAGCGTAATAATGCAAAACTGACGAAGTAAATCGAAGAACAAATAAAACTGTTAATAAATAAACAAGACGAGTTGGAACTGTTTGGCAGATCGATGAAAGTGTACAAGTGATGTCGTGTAAGTTTTATGCAGAAACTTTTCAATATTCCGTTTGTATTTCCGTTCGGATGTCTGCTGCACAAAAACTTGTGCAAAACTCAACGAAACGGATGACAAAGTAAATGTAAAAGAGTCTGTGACTCACCCTTTTCTTCGCTTACTTTTCCAGATACTTATTTCTCGCTATTTTATTCGTTGAAAGAAAAATATGTTTCGAAATAATTAAAAAAAAAGTATCGCGAAGAAGGCGAATGCATCTTTCATCGTGAGCAGATTCGAATGCCTTGAAAGCATTTTGAAAGTGTGCAAAAAAGTGGAGGAAAGCCACCATGTCAAATGGACGTGGATTTACCACATCCAGCGCTCTCCTTTTTTTTGCCAGTTGAAAAGACGGAAATCCGCTGTGAAAACATAAGCATGCAATAAAAATGACGACACACCAAAAGAAACAGCCAAAAAGAGAAAATATTAAAGACAAACAAAAGCGCACGTCTGCCACCGTTTGAAAGGCGCTCGGATTAAGCGGCAGCGACAAATTGAAAAGTTTAAATCGATTGAATGCACCGTTTTCACGTTTATTGCCTTGATTTCGATGGATTTTTTGTTCATTTTGACTTGGTGTTTATCTTCTGCGAAATAAAGCGGTGCTGTGATAGAGCAAATATTGCTCAATTTTGAGCAGTTTGAATCAATAGACCTGAAGAGGTGTGTGAATTCTGCATGGCAAAACATTATTCCACTTCGTGGGCAATTTCATCGGAATCACAATTCGAGAGTTGGTGAAGACATGATGCAGATTCAATTCGATGCTTTAAGTCGGTTTTAATGATTTTGATCATTTTTTTCCATTTTCAATGGATGTATGAATCCTCAAGCAAATATGGTTAACTAAAATGAAAACTCTGACTCGATTCCCTTTTTGAGAGAAAAAAAGGGACACGAGAAAGAAAGAAATTGCCACAAAAATCAAATTGTGAATCAAAACTTCCGTTACACAACATTTTGGAATTGTGTCGTTGTAATTTTCAGCTGTTTCGTTGTAAATTGACAAAAACCCGGTCTTTTACTTCTCTATCCCAACTTTACTGCGGGAGTCGTGTTTTTTTTTCAATTTGTAAACAAATTTCAAATTAAAACACAATCCAAAATTCTCACTTCACAACTAATTTGCAATTCAAATGACAAAATGTGAAAAAGTGGCGAGCGAAAAACAAAAGTGAGTGGCTAAAAGTATGCGAATGGTGTAGCCCGTTTCATGTCAGGAGTTTTGAACAATGGTGTGCCCATTGAAATTTTTAAAATTCTTCATTGGATCGAGGTGTCGGTGTACATGACAGACGCACAATCGTTCAGTGTGAATGGAAGCATCACTTCTAGTTTATACAAACTGCAAAATATGTAAAATAGCCGAAAAATGTATTAAAAATCACACCATTCGCCGCACATATTCTATGACACATTTCTAAATGCACAGACTCAATGCTAATGAATGCTCGACGAGCATTGCTCGTCATTGTTATTGTTTGTGCCGTGTTATCCCATTAATTTGATCCACAGGAAAGTGAACACAGCGTATATTCGCTCAATGAGCGAACCGCTCATATATGTGGATTGTGGAAAGTTGATGGAAAAATGACAAGCGAATGTTAATTTTTAATTTATTCAACAAGTTCTCCCTTGCTGTTTATCTGAACAAAAATGTTTTTTGGCACCAATTTCAATAGTTTGCTGTTGTAGAATGCATTCGTCAGTTGCGAGTCGCAACTTGAGACTCGTATGGACTTGATTTAATTTTTCGACACATTGAAGTTTTTTTTTGAATGGAAATGGCATTTTTATGCTTTCAATTCTATGAATTGTTTTTTTAGTTGTGAAATTTCGAGATTTTTCCCTGTTTTAAGTTTTTGGTTCGTTGATCAAATATACTTGAAATATTTTTTCCAGAATAATTTGTTACAATTTTAAATTTTCAATGTATTCTACTTAGAAAAATACCAAAAAATCGAGAGCAAATCACTTTTTTCAATTATTATTTTTCACTCTTTCGAGTTATTTTCTATATTTAGTCAATTTGTCATTTTCGTTGAAGAAAAAGTAAATTGAAATGTAATTACCAGAGAGTGTATATTTGCTACTGATTACTATGATTGCTCTGCAGACCTGAGCTAAGCTGATATTGTTGACTCGGACATTCTGGCTCATTCACTGTGCAAAATTTTCATTGATAGCAAAGATCCACATTGTTTATAAATTATTCTAAGATGGATCTGAGCTAATAATGGAGACATTTTTAACCGTAAGTGCGTTAGAACGGCGCTTCCGGTGACTGAGTCACCAAATTCAGCTGAGCTCAGGCCTGCTGAACAACGAAAATACACTCACTGGTAATTATAGAGGTATTGACAGAAAACTACATTTTGGATGTAATTTTCGGTCAAAAATTACTTTTACAATTACTTTCTATCAAACTATTACTTTTGATTGAAAAGATTGACCTCGGTTGATGTGTGCGCAGAAATGAAATGAATGCAAAAACGAAAAAATGTTGAATTATAAAAATTTATTTCGAAAATATAATATGAATGTTGTCCGAAAAGCTTTATTTACAGTTCGTTAGGCGAAAAAAAAATGTGCATTGATTTTTGGGTACCTAATCCGGCTAGGCGAAAAAATTATGCAGTATTCCTCACAATTTCATTTTGCATGCAAAACAATTGCCGGTCCATTCTTTTGCATGCAAAAATATTGTGAGGAATATCAAATAATTTTTTCTGTAAATTAGGCTAAATAGTCAAATAGTCAATATGATTAAAACGAGCAACAAATTGGTCACTTTGAATCCAAAACCATTTGAAAAGACAAACTGGAAAAAAATGTTTGAAATTTTTTCAAAAACCAATATTTGAATGTCAATATCACCGTGTTGATAAAATCATCAACTACATACGCATATTTAATATTGGTAATTACCCAGGCTTCGGTCAAAAAAAGTCACGAGCCGTCTATCAAATTGAAAAAAAAAATCGCCTATGGGGATGGGGCGGTATGGTAATCGAATTTAAATCGTTTGAGTGACAGTTGTCCGATGATGAATTGCACAAAATACGGAGTATGCAAATAATGCGCGGCCAAACACGGCAGCCACTCAACAGCACACATGCTGTCGGAACAAGTTCATTTCAAACATGGGCTTCATTCGAAATAAAGTGCTTAAAATATGCTCCGAGCTATAAAAATGTCATAAAAACTCGCTCGGCATCATGAAAAATCATCATGAAGATTTCCCCGAAAAATGAAACCAACAAACTTCTCTCGCGCGCGTTCCGAGAAAAAAAAGTTTCCCATTGTTCTTGTTGCGCGCATGGAATCGCAAAACGCAACTGTTTCGCTCGAACATAATAATTCGAGTTTGAAAAAGTACTTTTCATTTGTTTTTTCGGCATTGTTCGATTCGTATGCAAAGTATCCCATCAAAAAGCCATCTAATGCAATTAAACAATGCGAATGTGGTTGATACTTGTTTGTGTGCGACGACAGCGACAGCGACAGCAGCAGCAGCGATATACCATTCATTCGTCTATTATTCCTCGGCACTCTGTTGGTGTGTACGATTCGTACATACAGCGTATGTATCGCTCAAGGGAATTTACGCACTTAAACAATTATCGCATGTGATGTGTAACGGATTGCGCGCGGTGCAAGAGGGGACGAATTGAAAATTCGGATTTGTTGTTCGCTTGTCAAACGAACGATTGTCACCATTCCCACACAAAACACACTTTAATTTGATTACAAATCGCGATGTAACGAACAACCAGTGGCGGGTAACATGTTCAGGACATTCTTTTTTCTTTCATTGTTCATATATGTATGATTGACTTAGCGACACATAACATACAGCCAATTCCGAAATGAAGCACCACCGGAAGATTGATGTCATTTGACATGACAACGTGGTGGTTTTTTCCACATCATTTTAATCACTCAACGCTTTTATCATAATTCATCTCGATTTTTTTTTCCCCCGCTGACGGCATTTTAGTTTATTTTTAAATCGCTTGTGATTTAAAAAAAATGATGTTGATTTTTACTGGAAATTAGCAGTACGGGAATGCCAGTGAGATTTATGTGTGACTCGTGGCAACATTGATGGGCTCATCGAATTCTCACATTTGAAATATGCTTTGGATTAGAAAACACATAAAAATACACTACAAGACACACCAAAGTGGTTCAGGTGCTTAAGATGGAAATCATTCGCAGTAAAAATGTATTGCGTACAATTACAAGCGAGATTTGTATACTTCCAAACATATTTGTCTTAGAAATACTTCTACGCTCGACTTTTTGAGAAATTCTCTTATGCCATATGATGAGCACGGAGGCCCATATGAAGGTCTTAGAAAAGTTAAATGAAAAAATCCGATATTTCTTTGCACAATAAATGAAAATAGAAAAGCAAAATAATTGAAACATGGATCGATTCTTTCCGAAGGCGAAATTTGAAGACTTCAACTTGAAATTGAAAGAATTGTTTTTTTTTCTAAATTTGAAAAAAAAACACTCACAACTCTAAGTGTAACACAGTAGGAACCACGGATCTCGGTTGAAATATTCATTTGTCAAGACTCAAGACCTATTCATTTCTCTATCTGCTTGAGCTGCCCTAGTGCCATACACAATTACACAGTACGTTGAACGAAATACGATGTTTTGAATGAGTGTTGTTGCACTACATTCAACTAACGGAGACTAACGTAGATAATAGTTTGCATAAGACAATGAACATCTTTCTTTTGTTTAAGAAACAGACCGTTTTTGTACACTGGACGATATGAAGGAGTTGGATGGTTGGTTTTAACAGAGACAAAAAGCACTTGTTAGGAATTTTTTTTGCAAGCCTTTTTGAGGAGGTGATTCGGGAGGGTTGAAATATTTTCAATGAAGGAACAAAAACGGAGAATTTGGAGGATAAACTGGGTGAATTCATTTTTGAAAGTATTTTTGCAGACATTTTCTGTCAAATTTGGGCGATGTTTTCAAAATGTGTGTTTTGTATTTTTGTGTCTATAAAAAGGAGTGCCGTGTAGTGTGTAGAAATGTTTTATTTTTTGAACTTGGGAAAGGTATGTTTTAGAAGAAAAATGATTTTTTTTCACTGTAAAAAACCTCCTTCGGAAAAAATTATTTTTCTTTCAAAAAAAATTTCTATCTTGAACAAATGTTATGTTTCATTGAAAATTTTCAATTTAAAGTCATGGAAAAATGTTCTTTCATTTATGAACAAAAATGTATTACGAAAATTTTCTCTGTCTCAACAATAACCCCCTTTTTCGCTTCTCTATTGCTTCAAATTTCCTTCCTCCCTTGACACTCGGTCCTATCAATTACACATCCAAACTGAATCACAATGCATTTAAAACCATTGATAACGTTTGCCACGGCTCTAGATATTTTGCTCGGCATGAATTCTTCTGCTATTCTTCGTCTTTTCTTTTGTTTCGAAGCGCTTCAATGCTGGGTCCCAGTGGGCGAAGCGCGTCTTGTTTAAATACGGAAAATGAATGTTTAACCATGTTGAAATGCCGAAGCTAAACAAATAAGTCGAAATAGAGCAACATCTTGTGAGTTTTGAAATTCATACGTCCGAAATGAAGGCAAAAAGGTGGATCCAAAAGCGATCTAATATTTCATTTGTGACGGCACAATGTTTATCTAATGTAAACCAAAGTCAAATAAATTGAATTCGAACGGCAAGTGTGTGGGCAATTTGTTGATTTCATTCGAAATAAATGACAATGATCCGATGATTTCGAAGGAAATCATATTTTATTACACATCACCTCAAACCCCAATTTTCAGAGTCAAAATCTTCCTCGAAGAAAGACAACATTTAATCTGTCGTTCTTTGTTTATTTTACAATCTGTTTCCCCTTTCCCAATTTCTTCACGAAGAGTCTTTGCCTGCAAGTCTTCGGATGATTTTTGATAAGAAAAAAAAGAGTGGATTTTATTGCTAATTAAAATGTGTCTTCGCCCACAAATCTTCTTCGTTTCAGACGAGATTTATCGGATTTCGAGCTGTCGACGTCAATACTCCCGTTGCCAACATCGTTTTTTCCAACGGATTTATTGTCTTTGTTGGTTTTTCACTGGCATAAAAAACGCATATTCCATTTCTCTTCTTTAATTGTCGCTTCGCTCGGAACGAGATGATAAAATTATTAATTACGCAAAATAAACACCATGTCGAGCAAGCGAGTGAGTGAGTGAATGAATGAGCGAGTGAGTGAGAAAGTGAGTTAGCGAGTGAGCGCGAAGGGATAATACGGAAAAACACAAACAAAAGACCACAAAACCACAAGAAAACCGTCGTTCTTTTTACATTTTACAGCCATCACAAACACACACACACACACAGAGAGAGAGAGAGAGAGAGAGAGAGAGAGAGAGAAAGAAAAAAGAAAGGGTTCGACACAGTGCGATCCGAATTCATGGTTGACAAACGCTAACGAGAATAGGAAGCTGAAATAATTGCCATCCGTTGCACGAAATGAACGCATTTCATGAAGTCTTTTGATGGAATGCGATTTCTGGAGCGAACCGCCATGGGAGAAGGATAAAGAGAGCAACTTTTGGTTAGGTTTTTTGAAAATTGAAGCGGAAATTAAACGCAGTCACACTAAAAATGATGCGAGAAAAAGTACAAAATGGAATATTTTAAAATAATCTTCGAATTTAATTCTATTCGAGCTTTTCTTTAGTCAAAAATTCAAAAGGTCAGAAAATTTTAGGTTTTTTTCTGTTGAAAAATCTTGAAATTGTCTCTTTTTCAAGAAAAAAATCCAAGAATTTCATATATTTTCACCTTAAAGTCATCTACCAAACCATGACATTCCATTTCACAGATTAAATTTTTTTCGTACCCAAAAAAACCTTGATTTCGACTTAAAAACTGCTCATCAGATTCCTTTTTCGAGCAAAAATCGAACAAAAAAGTTAAATTTCAAATCGAGACACACGGTCGTAAAGTTTGTCGAAACAGCGATAAATGTGTAAATATCAGAACCATCCCTCACTCCCTTGTGCTCAAGGCTGCGAGCGTACCCATACCATTCAGAGCGACTCAGTGGGTTTGGATTCAGTGCGAAATGAGAGACCGAAAAACTCTCTATCGCTGTCTCTCTCCCAATGCACACAACAAAACTGAATGAAATTAAAAACTTTTCCTTTATTATTGTTGCATTGGCGAAGTTGACGGAAGTGTTTGCTCATGTTTGGCGCTGTGATAATGAGTACAGAAAGCAGCAACATCGGTGTGTGACTAGTAGCGTATATATTGTTGGCAGCTTCATCATTGGAACATTTTAAATGCTCGGAATTGTATTGTCACTTTTCCGTCAGTCGGAGAAAAAAAAAGAATTCCATCTCACCCGGTTCATATTTTTGTGTGACGGTTTTTGTTGAAACTGGGAAAAGTTTGATTCATTGGGACAATGCGTCGCTATGCACAGAACTGGTGAAATATAAAATGGACACGGACAGAGAGAAAGAGAGAGAGAGAGAGAGACAGAGAGAAAGAGAGAGAGAGAGAGAGAGAGAGAGAGAGAGAGAGAGAGAGAAATTCTGATACGCTTAATAATATGCATATTGTCCATGACGGCTTTGCGGCTCTCGCATTCATTATGATAGGGGAAAAAAACTGTATAATAATATTTTCTACAAACAAATGACGACCACAATGGTAAACGGGCTTTGCTTTGTTTGATGCAACACACACACAAAAAAACTGCAACGAGTGATAGAGTTTTTATCTGCATCTTTTGTGTAATTTTAGTCGTTTGAGCCACTGATACCGTCGCACAGACAATGCCATTGTTTAGAGTTCTTTTTGTGTGCACGCGCGCCAAATCCACATGTCGATGCTACGAATAACGAGTCTCTACTGACTAAACGAAAATCTGTTTGTTTATTTCACCAAGCAAATTCATTATGATTCGCCCAGTTGATGACTGCTTTTGTCTTTGAGATTTTGTTTGGAGTTTTTTTTAAGGGTTTTGAGATAAACAGACACGTTTTTCGTTGGGAAGGGAAAATGATGGAGACGATGCAGGTTTTAGAGAGAATTTGGCGTTTTTTGAGATATTCTCACAGGTTTTACGTCAGTTTAAGGAATTTAGAAGGTTTTAATCAAGAATCAAGAGTAAAAAAAGGACTTCATCGGGAATATACTTTCGATTTTTACATTTTCTTGTTAATTTTTTTGCTTTTTTGGGGTTGTACAGTCCTTCAATTTTTATTGATTTATTTAGCAAATGATGTGTTTTTATCGCCTTCAATCGCTTTTCTCCCCATTTTAGAAATGATTTGCCATTAAGGAATGCATTTTCTATCTAAAAATTGTTGAAAAAACATCAAAAATGTTAAAACTGAAGAAAAAATCATGAACAATTTCATTTTCCAATAGAAAACCATTCTCAAAAACCTTTTTTTCTCCTTCTCTTTCTTTTCCTTCTTGTTTTCTTCTTCTAGCCCAAAAAAAAAATGACTGAGGAATCAGCAACATTACCGCCGCCACCAGCGCCACCCTTGAATCAGCCCAAACAGCGTCTGAATCCGCATGAGATTCGAAATGTCGATTTGGTGCAACGGTTTTTGGCTGCAACCCCATCCTACCTATATTCCCCTCCACCGATTGGACCACCAAACTTTTTCTTCAGTGAAATGCTACGTTCGCTTGTGCAATCGAAGGCTGCCGAAGGTGCTCGAGGACTACAAAATCCGATGCGACGGCCACGGAAACGTCTTTGGACGCCACCAAATCGCTTTGAAAACGAGTCACTTTCAAAGGAACCTACTGGTGAAAAGCCGTTAGAACTAACAACAAAGCATCAGGCCATTCCATTTCCGAGTGCATTCAATCCACATTTGAAAAGTCCTAAAGAAAGTGATAAATCGGCTGCACCAGAAGTGAGTATTGCATCAAGCAATGAACCCACTGACTCAAAATTAACATCGTATCCGACGGGAGAGACCACTGTAAATGAACCATCGGCAGCTTCATTGCCGCCATCTGATTTGGTGATGCCACAAATTCCACCCATTTGGTATCCACCGCTTTATCCACCTTATGGCATCGATCCACTGCACTTTTTCATCGATTTACGCGTTTCGGGGCAACTTTACGATAGAAAAAAAGAGAATAGCTCACCATCAGCTGAGATTAATTCACTGACAAGTGAAAATAATAACATTAGCAAAGCTCGTCATGGCTCAGCATTCAGTGTACCGCCGAGGCGTGACAAAAGCCCATTGGCATTGAATTTATCATCGATTGGAACCAAACCAAATTCCATCGATTTTGCGAACAATAATTTCACAGAAATTGACGACAAATCGAAGAACACTAATTACGTTCTGCAGAATTTACCACGAATTTACACCTCGCTAACACACAATCCTGATGACAGACATTCGGAGGAAAGCGAAAGCAAATCCAGCTCCGATATTGATGTTAAAGATCATGAACAAATTTCCAACTTCTCCGACGATGTTGTCATTGTCGATCAAGACCCCGATGGACCACCGGAGAGGAAACATTTTAAACGCAAATAAAACAAACAAAATGCATGGAATAAATTGAATTTGTGTTTTTATTAGTAAGACGTGATTTTAAATCAATCGATGTGTAGAACGTTTAGCTGTAAGAACATTAATATTTTAGCGCTTTGTTAATTGTATGTGTCGAATTATTTTTTAATTGATAAGTTTTGTTCTAAATAGCTCTTAGTTATTTCGAAATTAAACTCATTTTTATACGAAACGATTAGGTTGATTCAAGCGAATTTTTTTTTTGTGTTGGGCTTTGTGATTTTGTGTTTATTTTTTATATCATTCTATTCATTTCGTGAGTAAATTCAATTATGACTGTTCGATTTCTTTTCTATTTCCTATCGTTTTTTATTTTATTTTACGTTTTTTTCATCGTTTTTTAATTGGATATCCGATTTGATGGACTTGATTTTGGTCTCATAAGAACAAATAAAAAATTTAAAGTATTCTTTCAAATTATTCTTACGATTTTTTAAAAATAGTTTCGAATTTTTATTTGAATTCTTTTACTTGGATTTTTTTTCATTTTTCTAATTTTTTTTATCAATTTTTCTTGTTTTCTTTTCTTTAGTTTTGTTCACATGTTTGATGAGAAATGATAAGCTTATTTCTTCAAGGCGATTTTTGTTTGCAACCACGGACCACTTCAAGCTCTATAAAATACATGAGTAATTTACTTCAAGCTTGATTTCAATTGTTTTTTTTTTGCATCTTTTGAAATTCAAAAACAAATCAGTGTTCACCTGTCCACCCATAGTGTGGTTCCACAATTGAAAATGAAATATTTTAGCCTAAAAGGTATTTAAATTGTCTCGTACAAAAAATGAATAATACAGAATTTCTACTTCAGCCAAATTAAGCCAAATAGCAGTTTAAAAAACAATGCATATTCTACCCAAACAAATTATCGTGCTTTTCCCACAAAGCCAGTTGTAAATTTCATGTGTATGTCATAGGGAAAAATGTGCTCAACAGGTCGCTTAACAATGAATGGACTATTTATTCTGAAATACTAAAAATAAAAAAAAAATGTTCAATCAAAATGTAAATTAACCGAAATAAATAAATCAAATAATAATCATATTAAATAGTGTCAAGAAATGGTTTTTTTCTGAGTCAAAATCAATTTCTAATTTTAGTTCAATATTTTAAAAAAATGGTAAAAAAAAAATAATTCAGTTTTTTGTCTTTAGACAATTTTTAAAAAAATTGAGTCAAAATAAGCAATGGTATGAAAAGTTAGAATATCAATTTTTTTTCTTCATGAAATTTCCAATGAACTATTTTGAATTCTTAATGAATCTTTCACTTTCTTCCATTTAAAACATTCATGTAGAAAGAAGGAATGTGTAATGAAAAAAATGAATAATTTTTATTGCATGCAAAATTGCAATGCATTCTCATGAGAGAGAGACCCAGGTGAGCTGGTAAAATAAAGATTAGTCAAAAAATGTGCAATTTGTAGGTTTTTTTGTCGAATTAATTAAAATGAAATTAACATTTAAAAAATTGAATGAGTGATATTGTGCAATTGCATGAATAACTTTCGTGATACGCATAGTTCAAAAAAGTCAGACTTGCTGAGTCAAAACTTCTTGATAAATCTCATGTGGAAACTGGAGCTACGTTTAAAATCCCAAAACCACACACACATTGGCTCTATGTAACCAGAATGGATGCTATTTATAGCACACAAATTGGGAACATGTGATAATAAATGAAATTATGAATACAATTATAATAAATCAGACACAAATTACTGTAATTAACATCAAATTGGCCAATTTAATTTGGAATTTTGTGCAAAAATGATTATTCTCTCTTCTTAAAACGGATTATTCAGAAGTAAAATAGTGATGAAAAAAATTGCATATATTGAACCTCAAAAAATTTTGGTATGAAGCCATTGAATATTTATGTTCAATACAATTTGAGCTCACATTAAATTTTTGACTTGAATCTTAATTGAATTTTTGACTTACAATGAAAAAAATCGATTGAAATTTAGTAATCTTAATTAAAAACCATTAGAAACGTTTTGTGCAGCGCTGATCGCTAGACCAAAAATATAAATGAAAGCAGTCAATAGGACTGCAATATCAAAAGTTATATGAGTGATAAAAATGGATTCGTAAAAAAATGTTCATTTGTTCCATATCACAATTGTGTATTGTTCGAATGGCTATAAATAAATCCCTTAAACAAATGTCCCCATGGAACGATCAAATTTCGTAAACAGAAGACAAATAAAGTTGTATTCACTGCTCCATAATCTCTGGCAATTCGAAAGTAAGAGTCATATGTTTAATCAAAAGTAAACAAAAATAAATCATGTCACATCGTAGCTTGGTACAAAAATAAAATCAAAACAAATGATAAAATCATGTCGAATTCGGTGTCAAGCGCCTGTAAAAGCACATTTCCCAACGGAACAATGGTCCAAGTAAACATTTTGTAAACAAAATATTCGGTGCAAAAAGAAAGTAATTCTTTTTATCAATCTTATAAGCAAAACAAAAAACGATGTCAACCCTAGCGAAAGGTCGCTACAAGTGTAACAGTCTACTGCAACAAAAACAAAAACAACAACAACAAAACGAAAACAAAGTGACTCAATCATAAATAAAAGTGTAATTAAAAACGTGCATGTCCTTTAAAAAAAATCGTTATCAATTTGCTTGCGCTTTATTTCGGTGTCCTATTCCGTAGATCATTGCTTTCGGCGACTTCTAATCGTCGTATAATATTAAGATTTAGCAACGATTTGGCGATTTCTAGGGCTGTTTTATGGTCTGAATTACGAATATGAATGTTTGGTTCATGTTTGAGTAGTGCATCGATTGCATGTGCATCGCTAAGGCGAACGGCTAAATGGAGTGCGGTATCGCCGTTTGAATCTTGAATATCAAGGTCATTTCCGCTATCAATTGGTCCCAGGTGATTGAGGAGTAGGTTTAAAATGTCGGTCGATTTCGTGAGTATGGCGAGATGAATAGCAGTTTGATGTGTCCCTTTCGTTGTTACACTCACTTTTGCGCCAATTTCTAAAATTCTCTCCACCAAATCAATGTTTTTCATTTGAACGGCTGCATGAAGGGGCGTTATGCTCCGATCGGTTGACAATTCATTGATATCACCGTCAAACGTTCGTATCGCTTGTGATGCATTGTTTTGTTTTTGGGATAGATACTCCGTGATATGTTTGCATTTATCGCAATCGCACAACGGATGGCACACAATTTGCGACACATCGTTGGGTATATCAATGCCAAGGAAGTGACACGCAAGTTTTGTATCATTGTTTTTAATTGCCGCGACAATTTTATCGTTGTAGGTTTTCTGCGGCAGTGAAACAGAGTCGACTGTGTCTACGGTATGATTTAGACCGGTCGAGAAACATCCACGGAACACTTCGTGATTCAATGATGTGGTCGACGATGATAGACTGGAACATGTACTCTGTTCCTCCCAGTCACTGGTCACTTCAACTTGTTGATTTGCATCGATTGCATTCTGCAACATGGTCGCTATGTGACTATTGTGCGCCAGTTCAAGTGCTATTGGATTTAATGAAGAAAAAAATGAGGTCAATTTAAGTGATGGGTATTCAAACCTTGGAAGAAAGAAAAGTACAAAAAAGTTAGCACAAAAATACCTGTATGACCGGCTCGATTTCGGACGTCCGGCTTCACTCCGTATTCCAAGAGTGTTTCGATAATTTCACAAAATCCCCACTTTGCACTGAGATGCAAGGCTGTGTCTCCGAATTTATTCTGTGCATTCCGATCGATTCGTGCTTTCATGTGATCCGAATAGTAAAGCAATGCTTTCACACAGTTAATATGACCTGGAAAATAAAACCGATCAATGGTCATTAGATCGAACCAATTTCTGATTTATTGTCCCACAAATATTCCAAATTACCATTCAAAGCACTGAGATGTAAGGCCGTATTCTTATCATTTGTCAGTGCATTTATTTCAGCTCCGGCATGTAACAACAACAACAATGTATTCTGATGACCTCTGCTAGCCGCATAGTGCAATGCAGTGTAGTTATTTTGATCTTTGATGTGCAAATTTACACCGAGTGCCAGCAGACAATTCAACATTTTGGCCAGGCCATGCATTGTGGCCACATGAATTGCACCAACGCCATGAGTATTCTGCAAATTGAGACGACATTCGGGAAACTTACTCATCACATCGAATTCGTCATGAACACCCTCGTCGATTCCATCGTCAACATCATTTGAACGCTTTCTTATCGTATCGTCGTCGTTGGCATGCTTGCCATTTCCGTCATTCTTTCCATCGTTATCTCGTTCAACCGCATGAATAATCAAATCATTATCAGTCTTTAGTAGTTTAATTATTTCCACTTCGTCTTCTGCAATGGGGCGGAAATAGAAAAAAAATTTTTAGTCCAAACAAACAGGTAATTAAAATGGCATTCCGTCTGGTGCAGACAGAGATAAAATCTATCGCAAATAAATAGAGGAAAGATGATAATTAGAGAGAAAATACGAGAAAAACAACAGCGATAAAGGGGGATTGGCCTAGAAAAATGTTGCAATAAAAAAAGGAAAGAAGAATAAGAGGAAGAAGGAGAAATGAGAGCGAGAGGAAAAGCGAGATAGACATAGGACGTAAAATTACCATTTTTAATTCGTTCAAATAAATAGTCAATAAAATCGTCTTTGTTCGCAAAACGTCGTTGCAATTTGCCATCACCTATCAATGGACCCTGTTTAAACTCTCTCAGATCGATCGATTGAATATACGTAATTGCCGCTTCGAGCGTTGTAATAAGAAAACTGTCGACGCCCTTGTCCGACCCATCCGAGAACTCGTTAAAGATGAAATGCTTCAAAAACTGTATTGTTGCTATCCAATGTGTGAGTCCCGACTTGATGATAACAAACACAAGAATCGGTATCAGGTCGTCGACAGATATATCAGTGTGACGACTTTGCGACGCAGATGTAAGAGCACGTCGTAAACAACCTACCGCAAAAAGTAAAAAAAAAACGGAAAAAAAAGTCGAGATAAAATTAAAAAAAAAAATAAAAATTGTTTCAAACATTGTCAAACAGTAAAAATAAAAAGTGGCACATGGTGATTAATTGTCTTACTAATTTTCTCAATGGGTGTCGTTAGATCGGGCATTTTAACGAGTTCGATGCGCACACGACTAATGATATTGCTGTGTGTGCTGTCAATTTTAAAGTCTTTCAACGATGCATCGGCCAAGTTTCGTAGTGTTCGATTGAATTTCTCATTTTCATCGGCACAAATGACGGTGATAGTGTCAAACAGCCATCGGTACAATAAATCGATGATATATGTTTCAAGGGCAATTTTAAAAACACGCCTAAAATGTGGGTCATTCATACACTTCTCATACAGTCGACGTTGATACATTAATTTTTTAAAGCAATGATTCAGAAGAATATCCACGGAATTTTTGATTCGTTTAAGAATATCGGCGGTATTTTTATCGCCAGCGCCACATGACATGTGATTCAATGGTTCCATACAATTGGTGTTCTTCATAAAACTACAGCAAATACTCTCAATTTTCCGGAACACTGCCTTCGAATTGGTTTCATTCCAAATTAACGTGACAGCGTCTTGTAGTCCACGTACAATGCATATTCCATTGGGTGCTTCGCCATTGATTGAGACCCGTGGCAACAATGGCCATTCGATGCACCATACTTTATACTTCAGCAATCCCTTTGTATAGAAAATCTCTTCAAACAGAATCGACGATGCAATCGATCGAATATGCAGTTTGCCATTGAATTGCTTCACATCGGCACCCAATAGATTTGTGAATTGCTGCGGGATTTCATCGTGCGGTATCAAAATGTGTGCCAATAAAAAATCCGTATCGTTTAAATCTTCTGGTTTTATTGCAGCCGAACGTGGTACACACACTATCCAGTTCTCAAGCGGTGCCGTTTCGATCAGAATTTTGTGTTCACGTTGCAATTTAGCAAAAAATTTATTATCGGATAAGTCTTCGTCGTACAACGATTGAAATGCCATCGCTTTTTTTTTTCTTCTAGCAAGAATGTAGTCAGCTGAGCTACCAATAAACAACTGAAACAAATAACACAATTTGGATTAAATGAATGGGCGAACTGGGAATTTTTCAATTGTGTTTTCTTGAGATAAGCAACAAATATACTGAGATATATTTCGAGTCGTTTCGATTATTATTAAATCTGTATTTGTTACTCGTTACGTTGCAACACATTACACGCACTTGTGTGTTTTCCCATTGGAATGACAACAAATACTCACCACTGCTCATACAATGCTACAAAAAACTACGCACTAGACAAATGATAAAAGAAAATAAAACACCTTCCTTACACCACAGAGACATCAACACTATTGAGACGTAATACTTCAATTGATATGGATGTGTATAGGTAAAGTAAACACTTTGTTTTCATTTCGTCGTCGAATTGTGTGTGTGTGTGTACCCTGTACGTGTGCATTGTTCAAGTCACAAATGTCACACAGCTGATTATAGACATTTGACAATCACATGATACTATCAACAAGCGCCATCTAGTGAAAGTATCCGTAGGGAACAAATACTTGAAATCTGCTATACACACGGATTCAAGGTGAAATGTGAATAAAATTCACTTTGAGGCTTTTGAATTCGGTTTATTCTCTTTTAACTCATTCTCCCTTGCATGTCCATAAGTACTAATAAATGAGAATGTCGCATCGCCACTTTCTACGTTAGGTAATTACCATTGAAATTGGCTGGGTAGTTTAATTTTCACAAAAAAATTTTTTTTTGATTTCAACCAAATTGATTTGTTTCTTCCTAAAGATCTTTGTTCAAAATTGCTTAGCTATCCAGAGGCCCACTCAGATTGTGATTGCTGCTTCTTTCGCCTCAAAACTAAGACGGCACTGATATATGCTAAATTAGCATTGATAATTTCATTCATTTAATTTGCAAATTAAGTGTTCCAGCTGGTCAATGATCTTTGTAGTTTGTACCTCACAGCTGATCGCACACGAAGAAGCAAATTACTTTCGCTTGGGAAGATACAATCGAAGACTGATTTGGAAGTGTTGATTGGTTTCCTTTTATACCAGCTGAAGTAGTCCAGTGACCTTTTACCATTGCATAGTGGCTTACCACAATCAGAGAAAGTGCGAATAGAATATTCGTGTTCCTGAACAACCGAAAGCAAAAACGGTGCATTCAAACCTTTTGATGCCATATAATCACTTTCGTTCGCCAATTGTACTTTGATTTTGATCGAATTTCGATTTCATTCAAACCAAACATCGCCGTGAAATTATTCATTCGTCAGGTTTTTTTTCTATATCATTCTGGGACTGATTTTCATAAAAGAAGATTTTTTTTTGTCCACAGACATTCATTCGCAATTCATATGAAAGTGAGTTTCACATTGACCTTTGTCCGATTTGCTAATTCAGATTTAGATGAAATTTCTGTGTTCATTGATGGCAAATTATCGCTTTTTGAGTCAGTTTTTTTTATTCAATTCATAAATTTATCATAGATTTAAATGCTTTTAACATTGTTTTTAAAACGAGCTTCATCGTATCACTTCATTTTTCTTCGATTCATCATTAGCCTTCAGTAGTATTTTTAGAATTTCCTCTTCATCTAGATAGAAAAAATCAATTCAAACTCAGTTAACGATTGAAATTTTTGGTTTTTTTACTGAAAAAATAGAGTTTCAATGAATTGAATAATAATTAAAAGCTACCTTCATGTGTTCCATCCTCGGCAATTTTACCATTTTGAAGGAAGATTTTTACAATTTTTGCATTGCCTACAGAAATGGAGATAAAAACGATTTTGTTAAATAAAGATTTTATATTTTTAAATCAATTCCGAATTTTACCATGTTCAAAAGCATCATGCAAAGGTTTAAATTCACCATTGTCTGTCACATCAACATCTCCATCATTTTTAACCTGCTCGTTCAACTGTTCTATATCACCTGAAAAACGATACGAAAAATGTATTTATTTTTTCTTGCTGATTGACGTTGGTCGTTGTTATAGCAATCTTGATTTTTTTTTTGACGACTTTGCCAAGAAAAATCAGTTATGTAAAACCAAGCCAAGTCAAGTCAAGCCAAGCCAAGTCAAGCCAAGTCCAGCCAAGCCAAGCCAAGCCAAGTCAAGCCAGGCCAAACCAAGCCAATAAAAGCCAATCTAAACAAATAAATTCAGTTTATTCTGAATGAATTACCGTTCAAGGAAGTCAAATTAAAATTTAACATTCCATCAAAATTTATGCCTGTCCTACAACCACCTTCTCTAATTGCACACGCGATCGGATAGAATGCCAATGCGACTAAAACAGCTGGATCACTGATTACTTCACCGACGGCTCCAGCAAATTCTGCATGACATTTAAGGAAATATTTACGTACTGAATGTGAATTCAGATGAACTGTTTATTTACGATTCAAAACTTCGCCGGGTCGAAAATGCGTCGGCTGTTGGGCGTCTGGATGCGATGTTTCTGAAGGTTTTCTGAAGGCCATAGAAAAAAATAATAAATATTTTTTGTAGATTTTCGATTGGAAGAGTTAATTTTTCGTCCAATTATATTTTTATCGAACTTTTTTCTATGAAAGCGTCTTGAATTTCAAGTTGAAACTGTCGACTTGAACTCACCGATATTCACTCACTGATTGTTGTTCTGATGGAAAATCTTTTTGAGAAGCTACAAAATGGATGAAAATCAAACGGAGGGCTACGCTAAAAAATGGATAAAGAAATACCTGCTGAAATTGTAGCTAAAACCACACCACAAACTATAACTAAAGCAATGAAGATCTTCATTTCATCACAAACTGACTCTACACGTAGACACAGACTAAATTCGAATTTTCGATCCAATTTCTTTTATACCAACTAGAAATTATCTTTGATCTCTTTCCAAAAAAAAAAATCAAGTCATTTGACAGGGAAAGTGACAATAAAATATCAAATTGATAGACATTTAGGTGATAACAAGAACAATTCAATCAAATCTATTATACTTCCGAAGTCAATATCTTCGATCTTCTCGATGTTGAACGCAACTCAATGAAATTAGTCTATTTAAATGATTTACATCTGGTCATTCTACTTTATCGCTCATTCCCCATTTGAATAAAAATCATACAAAATTTCATCATCGAATTTTGGTTCGTCTTGAAAAGTTTTATTGTTGATTACGAATGTTGATAGTTGTTTATGATTATGATAAAATTGTGAAAAAAAAACCACAACAGGCGAGAAAGTAAAGTGCTTTTCTACATGAATCATCAATATTTCTTATTTTTTCTTTAAATTTATTTAAATCATGTTTTCAGGAGTTCAATAGCATGGAAGTCCATGATGTTTGTGAAAAAACTAATTGTCATGCAGACCGTCTGTCCACAAATTTGATTTGAACTGTAGTATGATGATTATTTTGAGAATTTTGCAGGTAATTTCGCATTTGTTTTCTTATTCGTTTGAAGAGGTTTGAAGTAAGGAACAGATTTGTGTTTTTGAATAGCAGTGCGGTAGAATAATTCGTTTGTCAACAAGACAAATGACCACAAACGACAAATTGACGAAGCCATCGAAAGCTGGCTGGATTTTCAAGCCATTTGCATCGGTTGACCTAATGAACCCAATTTTGGAGAAAAAAAAATTCGAGGAAAACCCAAGGGGCAAATCACTACTGAAAAGTACTTTTCAGTGTTTTCAGTATCAAAATAGATCGGGATTTTTGACAGTTGAAATTTGTTTTAACAGATCTGCCATCCATTCATTTTTCTCCTCGAAAATTGATGCCATTTTCAGTACTTTCATATACTAATACATTGAGCACTGAAAATCCTGAAAACCACTGAAAACTACTGAATTCAATTTTTCAGTAGCAATTCGCCCCTTGGGAAAACCAATCGGAAACTTGTTCTGAAATCGTTAAATAAAACTCCATTGGTTATTTTCATATATTGTGTTTTCATTCATTCTAAACATTAGAATACAATTGTTCAGTCTTAAAAACTCAAATTGATTATGACTATGACTATGAGAATTGTCTGGTAAAACTTATTTCATGTGAACAAATTTTCAATTCAAGTGATTCTAATTTTAACAGATCTGAATGTAATGAAGTATTCACAATAGAATTTTTTGTCTAAATTTTATAAAATGTTCAATTGTATGCCTCACAATGCAAGATCTTATTATTGCAATTAGCCAGAAAAATGTGTTTAGTCTCCTTTCAGAACATTTCACGGATTTGAACTTGTGAAAGAACGGTTGCCGGTGAGTTGAACAATATTTTCTTTGGCGATTTGTGAGGATTTAGAACTATTCGTTGATGAGTCGTTCAAGTAGATGTTAAAGTTGTGTAGATTTTACACTATAGGGGCTTTCAATGGAACGAATTGAAAACCCCTAGAGAGTTATACGTTGATTGTCGATGCAATGGAGTACGTGTTAGCAAACGTTCACATGTTGATTTCGATGAGCATTTCGTTTCGCTGGAACGGTCCTTTTTCATAACACTCAAATTGCTCCAATTTCAACTGAGTTCTGTTGCATGAAGCAAAATCGAATGAAATGAATGGGTATGGTAATTCTCAAGTGCGTCCATTCGCCGAAGAATTATCGATGTCATTTGGAACCAAAGGCTTTGCCGGTTTTTTTTTGGCAATATCAGCCTATTGGTGCTGTTTCGTCGGGTCCATTGAGTGCTCGTAGTGGAATGTTATTATGTGCATTAGCACCAGCGTTATTGTTTACATCACATTGAACACCCATACATTCTATGAGGAACACCAAGGCCATAGCAATTGCAAGCACTACTACTAAACCGATGAAAATTTGTTTCAGTATATTTGACTGGTTTGGCACAATTTCGGAGCACTTTGATGATACTTGCTCCAATGTGTCAATAGCCTCGTTGATATCCCTTGACAACGGCACAAATGTGTTATTCATCGATTCAGTAGCTAGTAAATTAGCTCCCAGCTTTTTTATGTCATTTAAGACCTTCTTGATGTTCAGTTGGTCAAGTGTGTGCCGAATTTCTTTTTCGATTTCTGGTGGTCTCACTGTAGTTTCGTCACAACTGTTTGATGGAATACTTGCCAATCGCTTTTCTATCTGTGCCACGGTGTCATTGCACCCTATTAGACTGGATTTTTCGCAAATGCTGTTGAGGACCCTTTTACATGTCGGCAAAAGATCCATTTTCTCCTTGTACATGTTGCCAATTGAATTGTTCGATCTCAATGTTTCAACTGGCCCCATCAAGATTCCGGGTAACAGTGTTGCCAAAACGATCGCCCATATCATTATTTCGTTCATTTTCCTTCGATCTGAAATTTTAGGAAATGTATCACTTTTCTATTCAGATAAATTTTTTCCTTAAACAGTATTTTCAATCGAAGAATTCACTCATTTTTGTCCAAGCTGATTATAGCGCACAAATTGCTGCATTTACCTTTGCTTCAATTTAAAACATTCGAGCTTAAACAAAAGAACGATGGACTTATTTGAACTGCTGTGAATTTTCGCTAGAATTATTCTAACCCAGGCTCGTCACATGTTCGCTAACGTTTCACACAGCAAACAGTTGACATTGGTTGCGGTCGCTGTAGCCATTAAAAACAGAAAAATGCATTGCATATGCTAGAGCCAGGTTTATTGAACCTATAAACATGTCGTTCGAAAGTGTAAAGCTTCCCCATGACGTTTGGGCCTGAGTGAGTTTCGATGCGTAGTTAAATGTGAATCTTGGACAAGTTTGTTCGCATTAAAATAAGTCCAGCCAAAAATTCACAGCAGTATATTTGTGGTTGCGAGTCAGACTCGTAAAAGACAGACTAACAAGTCTTGACACAGATTCGCAAGACTTGTGAAGCTGCCTCTGTTTTTCTATTGACTTGTGAGATTTGCGCTGACTCGCGTAACGCATAACTCCGTAGTAATTGGTGCCAAAATACATGAACTTACTAAACAATGAGTAAATTTCTTCAACGTGCAAAGTACATTGTGCTTTATAACAATTGACATACCTTAAAAACGGTGAATGAATACGAAACTTGTAGAGAAACTTGAAATTTTACTGATTCTGCGAGATAATTTGATGTATCTTAACTGTGGTTTGATATAATCAAAATGTGGATCTTTGTATGAAATCTTATGTAAATGCGCACGAAAACTGTTGAAGAGAAGAAAAAAATTGAAATTAAAGTCATTTTAAAGCAAAATCTCTTCATTCAGACCAAATTCAATCGTATATCAGCAATTATTCAGCCTACAGTGGCCAAAATAATCGGTTCCTGACTCATACATGGATTGGTAAATGCATATGGGCAAGGGTCAGTAAGACGAAACCACGCAAAAAATGTTTCTAAGGAGCAAAAAAGTATATTAACGTCGTTCGATCGCAATGAATTTTTGCATAGCTTAATTATTTCATAAAACTTATATTCTCTGAAAATTTTATCCAATTCGGATAATTTTTTCATATGAAAATCTACAAATTTTCGATTTTTTTCCGATTTTTGTAACGTTACCGACCGTTTTTTGAAAGCACAAGATTTCTACTATGCTTTTACAAAACTACAAGAACCTTTACATATTTTTGTAGAAATGGGCCAAAACTTTAATAATAAATTCGAGAAAATATGATTTTTATTTTCTTTTCTGGTTTTTGGAGCACTCAAATCGCACGTGTAACGTTACCGATTTTTTTTGTAACGTTACCGATTCTACGCCTACTGGGTCCAGAGACCACCAAAACAGTTTTTCATGCACACCCTGTATTTCTATCTTTTCTTTGATCCTTCATCTACGATATAATGAGTGACAACAGATTTATGCCTGGGTAGATTCGCTAATTTTCATAAAAACGTTGAGCAACCTCGCAAATCACTTCCAAAATTTTGTAACGTTACCGACGCCTTTAATCGTTCATAAGTCCAATACTATAGGTGATAAAAATAAAAACTTTTCTTTGAAATGTGTGGTATGGGCAGCACTATCATATGCACTTTTGAAATTTTGGGTTTTCACTATTATTTTCAGAGATATGGGCGAAATAGGCGTGCGAATTGTAACGTTACCGACCTGACCCTCGCCCATATGACGTCTTGCGCCTATTTGTTGTGAAATTCACTATAACACGACATCCATTTTTCTAATCACCAGACTTTAGAACAAAGAATTCTTTTTCATTTTTGAAGAACACCATATCTTTTGACAAGACACCGAATTTGTTTTTGCGCTCAAAATGCAACAGAATAAAAAAAGCGATGCCTGAAAAATATGCGTGATTCATGCATCGCGTTTTTACGCTGTTTCTTATAGAAATCTTATTTATTACAAACGATCACTTGACGAAAGAATAGGAATAAAATTCTTACCGCTTGCTAAGCACGACTGCTCTCTCCGACAATCAACATATAACTCTAATCGTTATTGCGAGTTAATATACTGCATGCCTTCATTTCACACGAATCTATAATCGTTATAGTATAACGTTATGACGAATACGCTTCAATGTGTTGATTGATCGTTTGAGCTCACGCAGACAGATAGATCAGTCGTTGTAGTGGAAACTACGACAATCCTCAAAGTGTTGCCACAGTAAATCATCACAGTAAAATGAAGTACTTAAAGGCGCTTTCTGTTCTGAGTGAAATGAAAAAATAAGCTTTTTCTTACTTATCTTTTATTCAAATGAATAATGTGCTGATGTCAGTTTTTTTTTAATGATTTTGATTTGTTTAATTCGATTCAAGACATTCAATTCAATTAATTCTCAATTCAATCAAATTTTAAATATGACCTACTTGGTAAAACAATTGTTTGGAATTTATTGCTGGAATTAAACTGCTACATTATTTTGCATAATTTGTGAGGAAAACAGATCGATTTAAATCAGAAAAACAAAACACTTTTTATTTGGAAGCAGATTGGTTGTCTTTTGTTTCTTAGGGTTGCTTCAAAATAACGTCGAAACTAATTCAGAAGGAACAACGTAATTTCTAACTCAATGAACTGTAAAATGGTGTCTCTTTCTCATCTCTTTTTACCATTAGCAAGAAAATAAAAAACTGAATGAAAAAACCAAAACTCATTGAAATTGGTGCAAACAAAGTTATTTTACTTTTTTTCGATCATGTCGTGTAAGAAAAGTATTGGGATCGCCTCGATTTTTTGACTCCCTTAAAATCAGTTTTTTTTTCGATTTTCGAGCTTTGAAACTGTACGCAAAAAATGAGAATTGCTATCGCCTTGAATTTGTTGACCTATGAACAATCAGTTCTTTTTCGATTTTTGAACGCCGTAAATCGCAAAATATTGTATTATTTATGGGTCGTAGGGTAGGTGCGTGGTACACTGTACGCAAAAACACGGTAATTTTTTTGCTATGTTACAATGTATCTAGGGGGATTTCTCACGAAAAAAATGAATGAATTCTTAAAAATTTTGAAAAATTTCTTCAATTCGGTCCGATTTGATCAATTTTTGTCAATTCGTGTAAATAAATGTACATTTACACTGAACTTTTGAATTATGCTTCAATGAAATTGTTCAGAACTGCTCCCGTTCTGGAAGTGGATCTTCAGGATGGGCCAGGGCAATGTCAAACCGGATCTGGTCCATCCTGAGGATCCACCAAAA